AAAAAAAAAAAAAAAAGTCCTTTTGTGATGCATTACAAGCAAAATGGCACAAGCTTCAGCTTTTCCACTTTTCCGTACTTTGACGTGATAAACGACATGTTAGGCCACATTTATCGGAGTATGCATGGCTGCATGTAAACAGGAATGTTAGCAGAATATTCATTTTTATTAGCCATGTAGACAGCAAAGATTTAATATTGTCTTTTTCGGAATAATGGCAAAACTCTGAATATTTTGTGCATATAAACGTATTCAGCGTGTTTACAGGCTTATCATATGCCAAAACTCAGTCCGAAATACTCAGACAGGATTGTACAACTCTGGAAAGTTACCTCATGGTAACTACTTTTCTTTTGTCAAGATAATTGTGAGGTAAACAGTAGAAATTACTGTGTTGACATTACAAACTAATCTGTCAGGATTGTGCGCTTGCATGTATTTGCTGATGTAGCGCCTTGCTGGATGACATCACATTGGCAGCCCAATCTCATTAGACTGGCTCCACTGAAATGAATAAGAGAGTTATGGGTTGTTCCACATAGAGCTTCTGCAGATTTTCTACTTAGCACATAAAGAGCTCCAGTGATGGGTGTCTGAGCCTCTGCTGCAGTGGTCACAATCAGTAAGACAAAAAGAAAGCAGAGAAAAAGGAGTGAACATTTTGTGAGAGCAACACAGAGAAGCAGAGGAAACACTACAATGCAACAGAAAATCTATAAATAAATGTTTGTTAATTGACTGAGAGCTGCAGCTTCTGGATCGTATTTGAAACGGAGATAGTTTAGCCTCCTAGCGCTCTCTCTGCAGCAAAATCTATTGTAGCCGTGAAATCTGAAACACACTAAAACCTCCATCAATTCTTGACTCGTCAGCAGTGTCTGAGCTTCAGTTTGGCTATTTGACTCTTTGAGCTGGCTCACCCCATGCACAACACTGCTGGAGAGCTCTGCCACACTGCCCGCAATAATGATATCACAGCCCCAGAGAAAGGAGAGAGTTTGTGTGCGTGTTAGTGTGTGCGTGTTGCAATGGGAAAGGACAGTATGAATGAGAGTGAGAAGAAGAAGGAGCACAAGAGATACAGCGACAGAACAAGAGAGACACTCAACTGATTGATTGAACAATGGCTGCTCATTAGAGAGAAACTAGCCAGAGGTTATGTGTGAGGGAGGGCAAGTGTGTGTGTGTGTGTGTGTGTGTGTGTGTGTGTGTGTTTGAGTGCAGCTGAATGGCCTGCAGCAGAAAGAAAGATAAAGGCAGAGCTGTTGGATCGAGATATAGAGACACACAGAGCAAATTCAGAGCGCTACACACACACACACACACACACACACACACACACACACAAGCAGAACTCTAACATGAACATGGATACGGGATTGCGGCTGTAGACCAGCTGCTATATATAGCACATGGGAAAAACTAGGATAACACATTACTGATCTCCAGCTGACTGCTACACACACACACACACACACACACACACACACACCCCAACACATACGCTACACTCACCTTTTTGGTGAAGTCCATGGCTTTGAGGATGGAAAGGTTGAGTGTTTCCAGCGAGGCCAGAACTCCCTCATAGTCCCCCATGTGCTTGGCAAAGTAGTCTGCACACACACATACGGGCGAATTGGCACAAGACTTATACAACCTCTGAAGTCACAAAATTATTTGCAGTGGTTAGTCGAAAGTGGCTGAATTGATATCATGTATTTTAAAGTACTTTTTAATAATAGATAAGAAAGAGAATGAGGGCAGCGGCAGGGAAGTGTGTGTGTGTGTGTGTGTGTGTGTGTGTGGGGGGGGGGGGAGTCCACTTACCACAGAGTTCCTTAGTGTCAACATTACTATCACATCACAGCAGAGCAGCAGCAGAGGGAGAGAAAGGGAGGGAAGGAAGGAAAGTAGGAAGGAAGGAAGAAGGGAAGGAGGAGACCAGGGTCAGAAACAGAGGAAAGGCTTTTTGCATGCAGTCTCTCTAATTTACACACACACACACACACACACACACACACACACGCACACACACACAGAGCTGGAGTTTGGCAGGCGGGGAGCGATCTAACAAGACTCTCTGACAGGAGTCTGAATCAATCCACTGCCATCATTCATGCTCAGTTCGCTGTGCAGGGACTCATTTGGCAGCGGATTCTTCACTGGCATAAAGAAGACTTTCCCTGGTTGACTTACCAGGAGAGAAAGAGCAGAACAAGGGAGGAGAGGCCGAGATGGAGACAAAGAATGAAGAAAAAAGGAGGAACAAGCCAAAAGGGGGATGTGAGATGTAACTGATGATGGGTGATGTGGGGACAGAGGAGGAGACAGGCAGAAAGACTCCATCTGTGCATCTGTTCATCTCGCAGTAACTATTAATAAGTATAATGCTGCACATTATAGGGAATGTTTAAAAAAGACCCGCAGTAACTAAGGTTTAAAAATCGTATTCATTGCTATTTGAACATTTAAAATATCACCAAAAGGCCTTGGACTTTATGCTCTGTACAGATTGAATGATCTCTGTTAGTTTGATTTGATAACAGCTCATTTTCATTTTATAAAACAACAGTTTTACCCACATGTGCAGAATTAATCCTAATCCGGCACTGTGACAGATGGGCTTTAAAGATATCCACCAAAAACCAAGTTTAACCCTTTTTACTTATGATTACTTCATAACATATGTAATTTAAACTGCATTCTGGGATGTCTGTCAGTGTTGTAAAACTCCTCCAACAGTTAGCTGTGGAAATGAAAGTGGCAGATTGTTTATGATCCAAATGGTAGCTTCAGATGCTACATTTTCACTGAGGAAGTAAACAAGTAATTATGTTGTTGTCTGCAAGTGATTCAGGTATCTATTGGGTTACTAATAAGATTTAACATCCCTCAAAGCTTCATTAGTCCTTGGCATTCCACTGTAGGAATTTCAGGCATTTCATATGAAATAGTTGTGTATTATTATTATTATTATTATTATTGTTATGTTACTGTTGCTTTAGAAAGGGACACTTTACAGATTTTACACATCACATTACTTTGCCAATTTTCAACCAGCTTTGTATCACAACAATTTAGGTAGTATGTGTAAATGGACTGTGGTTAACTTCCTTCCATCCGATTTTTTTGGTAGTTCTTGGGCTGTTGTTCGAGCTACAAATTGTACCTTATTTTGTACGCCCACTGCCACCATGGACATAAAGAGCTCTGCTCTCTCTCTCTCAGACTCAGACCAAACCCCAATCAAACCAAGTAAACCCAGGCAGTGCTGACGAAATATAAACAAGGATTCTGTTGCTTTATTGCCTAGTACCCACCTATGATGGCTTCAGAAACATGTTTTAGTGTTCCTTTTTAGCTGTAATACTGGAATCTTTAATGTTTTTCAGGCCAAGGAACCCTTAGCTCACAGAAACGGAGCAGGGACCCCCTACTACATATTTTGTATAAAACTAAGTTGCATTTGAGATTATTCTCTGAATATTTTGGGGTTTTGTCTCAGTTTGTACTTGCCTGTAGCTGCTAAGTCAGCAGTAGTTGCAGAATGGATAGTTGCATCAGCCTCACCCTCTGTACTTTTGTTGCTGTAGACTGTTTGTCAGAGACACACTTTGAATAATAGTACAACTACTTGGCAGATATATTTCAATAGCACATACATGTTAGCTAACTAATTCACCTTGCCACAATGGAAAGGTGCTGCACAGTGATATAGCGTTAGCTAACTCACATGAATGCACAAGGATAAATGGGTAACTGTCATGTTGTGTTCACACCAAATGCGATGCGAACTTTCATGTCGCATTACCCGCGTGAGTTTGAATGCTAGAATATTTTGTGTTGACTTGCCTCATACACGTGAATAACTTGCGTCATATGCATGTGAAATCGCTGAATCTATGAATTAACTTCCATCAGTACATCCTCAATGTAGTACATCCCTGGAGGATCTCAATGCTGAGTAGCTATCACAGCGTGTATTATTTTTCAACTTTCGTGAATAAGCATATGACGTAAAATCACACGACGGGCTTCATTCACCCTTCAATCGCGTCTTTGTAATGACTTTACATGTAATTCCAGTGTGAACACAACATTAGCCTATTATTAGTGTTTTGTACTGTGCATTTTTTTTAAATGAATATTATCTATATATTCATTAGTTTTTATTTTTATTTGCTTATTATTTTTGTTGTAATTTCATTGTAGTTTGAGTTAGTTAGGAGATTTAGGAAGTTCAGAATAGATTTTACAATACAAACACAGTTATTTAGCTCAGTCATGTTAATATTCCAGTCTCAATAACCATACATTCTAATGCCACCACATGACAAAGACTAGAACTTAAGATATTTCCTGTAAAGTTTTATTTAATTTTAGTTAGTTTTGTAAGTATGTTATATATTATCTCAGTTAGTTTTTGTAAAGCCAAATTTTTATTTTTATTTGTTTAGTTTTTATTTTAGTTTTAATTACCAATTATGACCTCACAAAATTCTGCACTGCAGATTTAGTATTATTTTGTTTGTTTGTTTTTTGACCAATCAGAAGCAATTAGCAAAAAAATGGGACAATCTTTCCCCACAAAAAGAAGCCAGAAAGGATGAAGACATTATGGAGAGAGAGGTGATGGGCAGGCTGACAGAGAAGGATAAATGGAAACAAGAAGAGATGGGAAGAAATCTCAGAAAAACAGTCTGATAGAGAAGGAAAGCTTTAGAAGGGAGGAAACCAAAGAGTGACAGAGATAGTTAGACAAATGACTGGAAGCAGGACAGCGCTCAGTCTCTGCCTGCTCCGTCCCTCCTCTCCATCCATCAACTTCCTGCTTCAACAGGAAACGCTTACGCCGTCATTTCTCCTTTTACTTGGACCAATCAATAACCTTATCTGCTGTCACATGATAATGCTGAGGCCTGGCATGCGGCTGCCAAGTCTACTTAACCGTAATGAGAAGAAAGTTTTCTGACTGTGCGCACTGCAGTGAATAAGATTTATAAAGCGCGACCATCTCCAAGAGGCAAGATGGCTGACGTCAGAGAGATGGTGGCGGTTGCATGGTCCACTTGCTGCACTGATTTGAAAAAGGAAAAAAAAAAAATTCCACTAATGGCTGAGCCTGCTGGAGGATTTATATATTGAACCTAATTCAATTCTACAACAACTATAAAGGTCAGCTTTTGTTCTGCTTGGTTTCATTTTATTTCAAGGCCCTGCAGGTTTCTGAGATTGTGTAAATTAACGGAGCCGGTCTTTTGATTACTTAGATCCCACTGTGTCAGCACACTTCTCCTGATTGCAGGCTGGATGAGCCGATTGGCTGATTATAAGGGGTCAATACATTGATATAATGAGAGCCAATCAAAACAGAGTGTCCTGGGGAGCAATAAATGTACAGTAGCGACTGTCCTTAAGGGTCTGGATGACTAATGCAGAAATAGCTGAGAGAGAGGGGAAGAAATGGCAAATGATGCAAAAAAGAACAACAATTACTTTCTTTAGTTTTCAATCTTCTTTCACTGTTTCCTCCCACTGTCTTACTGTCACCTCGCCCTTTATCTTTTTTTTGTCATTTTCTTATTGAAAGTGTCACTTAACGTAAAGGGCTCTGGTATAAAAGGTTCTCCTTAAAAAGAGCCTTTAGAACAGGATGTGACATTTTCTAGTCGTGCACCTAGAACTGCACACACACACACACACACACACACACACACACACACACACACACACACTATGAAAAGTGTGATACTGAGGCTGTGCAGTAGCGGGAAAGCAGCTGCGTGTTTCTCCCCTCTTTTTCATAACTGATAGTGAGATGTGATCAAAAACAAAAGTCACGGTGGAGCAAGCACACCAACACTTACACACCCATAAATGTACAAATACTGTATGCTGATTTATTTCAGGCAGCTACACAGCCATCTCGCATGCTGTAGGCAAACACACACAGACACAGTAGTGGTATAGTGCTGACCTGGTGTTATCAGAGTCGATAGTGTGAAACAGCTTCTCCAGCTCTTCTTCGTTCAGCGTGCCATCGGAGAAGAAGGCTTGGAACTCATCCAGAGATAGCTTGCCATCATCTGCAGGAGACACACACACACAAACACACACACCTTGCATCACTTTGTAATAGGAAGCATTCTTACAATAAAACCTGAGTTCCATCAAAGATCTTGACATGTGTTCATGCCAGAAAAACTCAATATCTGAGAGATAAGATTATGATGGGGAAACAGTCAGTTTAAGCCATTTTCATCTCATATAATACTGAAGGGCAACCTGGACCCTGTTTTCCCATTTTTTGTGTCTATGTGACTTGTGGGAGCAACCATGTTCGAAGTTGGTCCAGTGTTAAGCGAGAGTGCTGCAGCCGGCAGCAGTGAGACAGGCTGCAATGTCACCACTTGGTGAAGATGCTCCTTGTCAATTTATGTCTATTAAAAGTGCTTGTTTTCGCCACTAACAGGCTCAAATTGTTATTATGACTGTCTCACAACATTACGAAAAGGACTTAACAGAAAACTGTTTCAATTTTTTTTTTTAGTATCTTTCACTTGTTCTGTACTGTTTTGTGTCAAAGTCTCGCTGAAAGAGAAGTCTTGTTCTGAAAACTCACAGACTTTTCCACATCGCTAAAAACAGCTAAATATTCAATCATGACACTGAAAATCTTTTAAATAAGAGTACGATACACTTTTGGTACTCTACTACAACAAACTATCACCATGAACAATCAAATCACCATTTTCATCACCTCTCGTGAGATTTCAGAACGAGACATCTCATTTGTTAGACTTAGACACAAAGCAGAGCAGAACAGGTCAAAGGCATGGAAAAATACATTCAATTTCTTTGTAGGGATCTTTCCGTAATGCTGTAAGACACTCGTAATACCAACCTGAGCCAGTTAGTAGCAAAAACAAGCACTTTTAATGGTTGTACATTGCTCACCTGCCCCAATGGATTACATGTTAGCCTGTTTCGCTGCTGCCAGTTGGAGCACTCTCTACTGGACCTGTTTCAAAAATTGTTGTTCCCACAAGTCACTTAGACACAAAAACATGAGAAATAGGGTCGAGGGCAAGGGGAAACCTCTGGTGCTAAAAAATGAAGCCAATGTGTAAGTGCCAAAAACAAGTTGGCGACCGCCAAAATGCTGGACTCCAGGCGTCAAAATGGTAGTCTACGAACTAATGGGTGACATCACTATGTCCAATATTGTATACAGTCTGTGGTCCAGATTGAAAAGTATCAGAGTTTTCCTTTAAGTGCTCCACTCATGGTTCTAACTTAAAAGTCTTCTTCTTTCACATGAATGCTGTCGTAGCTGGATTGCAAAACTAAACTGAACCATTTGATAGCCAACTTCGACACAGGTTATCCAGGGCACCCAAGTGAAGCCAGGTAACCCCAAGAGAGCCAGACTCAGTCATCCATACCTTGGTCTTATCTCTACTGTAACTGCTTTGGTCTCACTCATATTTCCTTTTCACACCTCTAACCTTTACTGAATGTAGTCACAGCTGTTAAACAGAGAGATCACATGACCTTAAACCTTGCCTCCTCTCACCTGGTTTTATTTGTGATTTTTTTAAGCTCGTGCCTGGCATTGATCTGCATCTCAGACATTTCAACCCTGTACTGTATGAGTCAGAATGAAGCCTCAGAAAAGGCTGAGAAAAACTGTTCCTCTGGCTTACTCTGGTTCCTGATAGGAAATAACAGCCATCCACTGTGAGGCAGCTAACCAGATGATATGATAATAAGCTTACAAAGTCTGTAGGCTATTATTTATAATTACTGTTCAAGATACATTATAAGTGTTTTGCCTGGTATTTGTTTGTCCTTGGTTGCTCCTACTTTGCTCTAAATTCACTTTTTGTTGTCATGATTATGATGAGCAATATTATTTTTTATTAAACCTTGATATTTAGTTCCTGTTTGCTTTGCTTTGCTGTACCATGTTCCCACCCTTACAAACACACACAGACACAACCGTTCAGTGTGATCCCAGCCTTCAGTGCTTTCTCAAGCTGCTGTGAAATCAATCCAGCATGCGCTTCAGTCTGCTGCAAACCTTTAGCTGTATCCCTGCTGTCTGCCTGTCTCTGCACTTTGGTAAACACACAATGCAGATTATATTTCAAGGCCTTTTGGGAAGAATTGATAACCACCAAGCTCATGAAACGATACTGGATTTCTGCTTGTTATACCCACTCGAGTTCTACAACCCTCTGGTATTTTGCCTTGGTTCTATGTTCCCTGGTTGCTTCACTCCCTCAATGTGATTTTTAAAATTTACCCTGTAAACAGCACTATCTTCCCTCCACCTTATGTTCTGAACATAAAAAAGTCCATCTCTGTTGTATTGATCTCTGTTTCCCAAAGACTTGCAGCACTGTAGAATGCTACCTTTTCTTCTTTATATATTACCATAACAAAAGTAACTGTGTCATAGTGCACAGACTGCATGCTTTGTCTGATTTAAAGCAACATTTTGCTTTTTTATTTACCTTAAAATAACAGCCTCAACATCATTTTGATGGTACACTGGCACCAGAATGAGAGAGAATGGCCCCTTTCATTCCCACTCCACACCCCAAATACCTGTTTTTCCACTATATGACTTTGGTGAGCTGGTAGCATCTCATGGGAGGTGAATTTCCCTTTCCGAGGACAGTGCAGGTATGTCCCACTCTACTCTGCCTTACTCTGCTTACCCTGACATTCTTAGTTTAACCCAAACCAATCCCACTCGGCATGCCTTAATCTAGCCCACTAAAGCAACGAAGGCAACAAGTACTGGCCATTCAGAAGGACAAAAGGGTGAGCCAGGCCTTCGCTATCCTAGAAAACACAAACTCACTCTCAGGAGAAGTGTGTGATGCTTTACAGCACTACAGCACACACTACCAGCGGGCTGTAAGAAAAAGCTAGCTCAGTCTCATGTTTTTGATTACAACCTTTAGTTGGCATGTTTGAAATTGTAGACTCGATTTGTATACACAAAGTGTTGTAAACTTGTTTTATAATTATCTCAATAAATTTCAGGGAAAAAAAGAAGCTAATATTACTAACAATTCTCTGTATGGACATCATGGTAGAAATAGAGAGACCATAGAGGATGTCAACAAAAGAAGAAACCTTTAGACGCTTGCACATGATTGCTGATTTGCCGATGCCGCAGTGCTTGCCATCGGCTTGACCCAATGCTGATCTCTCCTCCATCTTGCAGTCGGATCTTAAAATTTTTCCGTGCCCCGTCTCCGCCCCCTGCCTGCGTTCTACTGTAAAGTCACTGGCTCACAGTCATCATTCTTGTTCTTTATTTTTGTTATATAATGAGTTTATCTCCAAAGTCACAACAGATAATACTTTTCAGAGTCAAGTACAAGTATTAAAAATCCTTAAATCCAAATTGTTAAATGGGCTAGTAAGGTTATAGGTCTCAACTCAACCTATCAGCTCTTTATTCCTGAGCTGTATTCTTCAGGACTGTTCCCATCCCTTACATAGTAACTCCAGCTTCTTCACTCTGGTCATCAGTTTGCGGCCCCTCCGGGGAAAAAAAAAACTATACAGAAATGTTTTTTCCACCAGCAGCTATTGCACTACTGAACAAAGCTAGCACAAGATGATGCACAGGGCACTTTAAGCTTTGGAGCGAGTGAGTGAGTGAGTATTTGTGTATGTAGAAACATTTTGTCATGAAATTCTTGAGTTCTTATACTTTGATACTATTTTGATACTAGATTATACATGTTTTAATGTATTTCTTTTTAATGTCTTTTAAATCTGTGTTGCTGTGATGACCTCTTTTGGAATGCTGAATTTCCCATCTGCACAACAAATTTACCCTTGGGCACAAATAGAGGAACCTTGAACCTTCTGTCATATTTGTGTAAAATTGTGTAATATTAGTGTACCAAAGTGGTTCTTAAATGTCGTATTTGCCAGTTCCAAATCATTCTTGTCCACTGATGAACTTGTACAGCTGCCCATAAGACTAAGACATAAGACACCAATAAAATTACTACCTACGTCGCAAGCTTGCATAAATAACATTGGCAGGGATGTATGATCTGTTGTCAGATAGTCCAGATAGGTCTTATGTCAGAACAGTATATAACCCAGTGCATGGTTTGCAACCCATTAAAGTAAAAACATTATTTCCACAGTATGAAATTACATGAATCTTCCATATCTTGGGGCCCATATATGAAGCAAATGCTCCCGACTTACAGCAGCTGAGTGGCTAACCTCTGGTTTAGCTCTCCGCTAACTTGAATGGTTAAAAGAAAAAAGATATTATTGTGCGGCTCTTCTAGACTTAAGAAATGTTATCAGACCAAATGGATCAAATCCAGATAGTGAAACAAGTCATTGCGCAATTATCCACTGATTTACAATGTTTTTCTCTACGTAAATCTATGGGAAGAAGTCTTTCTGGGCCCAGTGGCACCAAATGACAAACACGTACATTGTAATTCCACATTTGGCCAGTTTGTCATATTGGCTTCAATGCCTGGCACTGTTCTTGGGGAAAATATACCAATTCTTGCAAATTTGACACAAGGCTAAAGAACAGTGTTTTATTACCCTCTCTGGTAAAAGGTTGCACATATGATGATGCCTGACAGTGATGTCACAGAGCACTGAAGTACACTTCTACATCAAGAAGTTAAAACACTACACCTTAGCAAAAACAAGATTTTCAGGGGGTGTTACTCAGATGCGCAAAAACTTTTGAAGTTCTTTACTTCTTACTTAAGTTCTTCACTACTTACTACTAACAACTACAGATCGGGTAAGCAGGAATGGGATGGCACTTTAATATTCCTACTGTCACCATATTCACTATAAAGCACATAACTCCTCTTTTTTTTTTTTTTTTGCCAGAGTCCTCTGTTCTGTCAGATCGATGTAAAGCAAGAGTCATCAACTAGATGTGATGTGTTGTTTAAAAGCCAGCAAGCAGGCAAGCAAAACTTTAAAGGTTTTTTTAAATTATTCATCACGGTCATCACTATATGTTAATGCTCTCTTGAGGAATATAAATCTACTGTTAGAAACATTTAAT